AGCAGGAAACTACTGCTAGGAAGGGTTGACTAACAGAAGAGGGAGATTTGTGAACTGTAATCCAGGCCACATGGTGCTCACTGTTACTCAGAGTGTCAGCCCAGCAAAGGACAACAAGCACCAGGCAGGCGGTGACATCACAAGGAAACTGGAACGCTGATGTTGGTATGTGGACTCAGGATGTCGGGGAAGGATATGGAACAAAGCTCAGCTCAGCCTCCTAGAACAAGCCAGCAAGCTCCTGGGAGGACACAAGCTGCCCGGGTCTCTTGGATCCTTGGGAAGCTCTGCCTGCTCCATGTGAAGGCTCCAGACAAGCAAGCTCTTTTACCAGCTTGGGAACACCTGTGTCATTCACTCTTGTACTCAGTCGGCCAGTGTTTATTGGACACCTATTGTGCACCGGGTCCTGTAGTAAAAGGTGTGATTACAACTGCAGTAAACACTATAAAAGAGATGTACATGGTGCTATAAGGGTCTGTGATCCCGATATAGAAGATAGAGAAGCAGCTATGTAAGGGTCCATGATCAAGATAAATGAATCAACCTGGTAAAATCAAGGTAATACTGATAATTAAGTTGGGATCCAAAGAGTGAACAGACTTTAACTAGGTAAAGGAATAGGAACAGAAGCTTAGGCATGAGGAACAGCCTGTAAAGACTCCGGCACGGAACAGCAAAGAGGCTATGTATCAGTCGGATTTGCCGTGTAATAAGTTGTTCAGAAATTCAGCATCTTCAAACAACAGACACGCTTTTAATCCTCAATGCTGAGTCAGAAATCTGGCTAGACTCAGCCAGGTGCCTGTAACTATCCAGACCAGACTGTGGGTGGCATTAGCTAGGGCTCCTGAGTTCCCCAGCTCGTCTCTTAGACTCTCTGGCAAGTCGCCCTGGAGCTTACCTCAAGCAGTAGAGGAGGCAGCCTCTCTCTTACCCCTGCAATTGATCTCATTGTGTTGACTGAAGCAAGCTGCTTAGCTAAGCCCCAAGTGGGTGTGAACAGCCTCGGCTCATCCCCAGGGGAGAGGGAGGTGTGAGTAAATGGAGTGCTGTGGCTGCAGAATCTACCCTAGTGCGTTCAAGGGCTGAAATAAATATGGAGACTAGAGCGTGAAGCCGGAGAAGGGCGAGGCTAGTATGTGCAGGGCTGCAGAGAACAGTGTAAGAATCTAGTCTTATCCTTTCTCATTCCAGTGTAATTTGATCATAAAAAAAAAAATCTATTGCAGAACCGGGGGTGTGGCTGAGCTAGCAGTATGCTTGCCTAACAGGCATGAAGCCGGCACCCCATAATACCAAGTGTGGTAGCACGTGCCCATAATCCCACTACTCAGGAGCTGGAAGACAAGAAATCAAGGTCATCCTTGACGACCTATTAACTTTGAGGCCAGCCTGAACTACATTAGATTGAGGGGGGTAGGGAGGACTCCCTTGTAGGTTAAACATCCCTGGTGAAGTGGCAAAGTTTGCAGGCTTGAGAAGATGAAGGTCAGGGCTAGTCCAGCCCACCCATCCCCAGTGCAGCCCGGCACAACATCCCAGGCCTCCCATCCACACTGTGGCACATGCTTCTCCTCAAGCTGGGAACAGCCTTCTCATTCTTCTTGAAAAGCGAGTTCCTCCCTCCCTGAGACCCAACTCAGATGCCACCACCCTAAAATGACCCTGACTTGTCTAATCTCCAAGAGCAAGGGCATGAAGAATGAGCTCTTGAGACTGAAGGAGGAGCCCGTGGTCATCACAACAAACGAGATTTCTAGCATCAAGTGGATATGTGGCCCCGCTCTATCTGTGGTCCAACCTATGGGTTGCATTGACTGCGGCCATGTTTTCACTTGTTCACTTTCACTAGACAGTGTTTCTTGAACGAATACCCACAGTCCTGCACGTAAAAGAGTCAAAACTGCATGAACATATTGAATACATCTATAGGTAAATGATCCCATCAGCAAAGAGCTTTCTCCCCAAAGGCCCAGGCACATGTGGCAGAGCTTCCTTCCAGTTGAAGGAACCTCTGATGTCTCCCATTTCTAACAGAAAGCCACTCACTGAGGGAGAGAGAACACTGGCTCAGGTTGGTCACAAGGGGAGCCATCTGGGGGCCTAGGGAAATGTCTCGGTCTATAGACTGTTGGCTGTGCAACCACAGGTTCTGAGTTCAGTTCTCAGAACTCACATTTTAAAAAGCCAGGCAGGGTGCTGTGTGCTTGTAAGGCCAGCAGTTGGGCCTGCGGGCCGGCCAGCCTAGCCTAATCAGCAAGCCCAGGTCCCAGTGAGAGATCCTGTAACAGAAACCAATGGCTCCCGAGGAACCTCTGGCCTCCACACACGTGCGCACAAGGAACACATACACTAACCTGCTTTATCAGGGGAAGGACCATGCAGCAGCGGTCGTGACTAAAGCCAGCCTTCTCTGGTGTTAGAGTGGCCAACCAGTGACCACAAATGATGCTGTGCCATGAAGTCAACTGACCTCTTGACATCTTTCCCACAGCCTGGGTGTAACTCCTATAAACCAGAAAGTAGTGACAAGCCTAGGCCTGGCCCACCAGTCCTGGCAGACTTTTGCAGACCAGCTTTTTGGTGCTGATCATATTGCCTCTTCCTCTACAGAGCAGGAATCTCAGCAGAGGCACCTAAATCCCAGGAAGATCCACCCTGGATTCATCAGCCACCTTCACAGTACAAGCCACGGAGATGAAGGACCCGGCTCCCCTTGCACCTAGCTATGTCCCCACGCCCAGGAGTGGAAGGGAGGACTGTCACTTTGGGACTGCACTCATGCAAGCAGAGGTGTGTCTCGGCCGTCCTTGCCCATTTCTTCTCCTTCTTGTAGCTTGGGAAGTCATTAGACCACAGAGCCAAGGGCAACACCTTAGGAAGATGGAGCTTGTCAACAAAGGTAGAGCCAGGGTCTGGGACATCTGGGCACACGACCTGAGACCCCATTCAGACCTTCCTGGTGAGTGGGAATGGAAGAAAACAGGCTAGCTCGTCACCTCACACACATTAGGGTGGTTACCACTGAAAGGGAGGCGGAGGGGAGGAGTTGAAAAGGATGTGGAGTGATGGAAACCTTGTGTGGTACAGCAATATGAAGCAGTACAGAGGCAAGAGAGATAGCTCAGTTCATAACATAGCGGCTTCGCAAGCATGACGACCTGAACTAAAATCCCACATAACAAGTCAGCTGCAGCTGCACACGCACTTGTAACCCCAGCGCTGTGGTTAGAGGAGAAAGGAAGCCTTATGTGGCTTGCTGGCTGCCAGTCATAAACTCCTGGTTCAGGGAGAAACGCTGCCTCGAAGAAATAAGGCGGGGTGACAGAGGACACCTGGCACCTTCCTCTGGCCTCTTTGTATACATGGACACAGGTATGCAACCCACACACAGAAAAGTATGCACACACACAAAAATGATAACATAATAAAATAGCATGACCACTATAGAAAACAGAGCAGATCTTACAAAAATTAAAAATAATTGCCAGAGGATCCGGCAATCACGCTTCTGAGTATATACTCTCTGTTCACAGCACTATTCACAGCAATTGAAACATGGATGTGGCCCAAGGCCCATTGAAGGATTAACAGATAAACAAAATGTGGGATACACTGGCCTTAAAAAGGAAGGATAGGATGATGGATTGTACAAAGTGATGAACCTTAAGGACATTATGCTCGGGGAAATAAGCCAGTCACCAAAAGACAAATGTTGCATGATTCCATTTATATGTGGTACTCACAGTAGTCAGAAACACACAGACAGAAAGTGGGATGGTTGCTAGGAGCTGTGGGAGAGAAAGGGATGAGTTGTTTTGAGGGAACAGACTTTGAGTTTTACAAGATGAAAAGTTATGGAGGAGGATGGTGGTAATGCTTGCATACTATACACGTATTTAATGAGATGTGCACTTAAAAACAGTGAAGGTGGAGGCTGGAGAGATGGCTCAGCAGTTAAAAGCACTGGCTGTTCTTCTAGAAGACCAAAGTTTAATTCCCAGCATGCACATGGAGGCTCACAAGCAACCATAACTCCAGTCCCAGGGGATCCAACAACCTCTTCTGTCCTCCACAGGCGCCAGGCCTGCACACCGTACACAGACAGTATGTGCAGCCAAAACCCCACACACATAAAATAAAGATGATGGCAGCAATGACTGGAGCTCAGATTTATTTTTTCATGGTAAATTTCATGTTACGAAGCAGTGAACTTAGAAATGGCAGCCTGGGGATCGTGGTCCGCTGGGAGAAGGGATTCAGTCCTGGGCCACCTGATCCAACCAGGTAGATGGGCCAGTCCCCTTTTGGTTCTTAAATCAGAGTAAAACATACTGTTCTTATTTTCTATTAAATTTCATGTTACATGTGTTTCTTGGGGTGGGGACTGGGGAGCTTCTTAGAAGAGCCTGCTAGATTGTCCAGGAAAGATGGGGAGTGGCAGCAGACACCCCACTGTGTGCACACCGGGACACTTGTCAGGTTGCTGAGACACTGACCTGTTCCCAGCCCCTGCACTTCTCTCCAGCTTCCTTGGCCCCAGACCTCCTAACAACAGGAGGAACCTCTGGTAGAGGATGGACATCTCAGGACCTCATTCTTACCTGTTCCACTCTGAGTCCCAAAGCCATAGCTCTGTTAAATACTTTGAGCACCCTGGCCAGAAGATGCCACCCATCTTGGCTGATAAAAAGGGAATAAAACTGAAAGCTCCAAACCATCAAGAGAGCTGAAAGGTAGGAGCTCCAAGAGGGAGAGGAAAGGGAGAGCTGGGGGTCCTGGGTGAAGTGGGAGGGGAGCTGGGGATTCATATGGTCATGATAGATCGTTTGTATATACGCAACCATCAAAGAATTTAAAAAGAATATTCTAGTTCTTTTTTAAAAAAAAGTTCCAAATGGCAGGTTTCTCATTTAATTCTCACTTTTCCCTCTCCATCTCATCTCCAAAGCAAGGAATATCCAGAGCCCATTGCTTAACATTCAAAGGCCCCCAAATCACGCTCAGACAATACTGCACACTTTTATTTACAGAAAACACAAATAAAGCATTTCAATTTTCATTTAGCAAACTGATCCACATTTTTTTTGTCTTTTTTTTTTTGGCACAAAGAAATATCACAGAGGGACCCCAAGATCAATCAGAAACTTCTACGATTCATTAGCCATTACTGGTCCAGGGGTAGCCACAAGACTCAGACAGACAAGCTCATCACAAACCAGAGATAGAAAGGAAGTAGTCTCAGTTCACCTCACAGTAAAAACCCTGCTCACCATCAGGCAAAGGTGCACAGGAGAGACAGGTGCCCTGCTCCAAGGGAGGGAGTGGGAATCTGGGGCAGGAAGCAGGGACGGGGGAAGGAGGAACTCTTCTCCTAAACCGGGGAGAGGTGGTCCCCTTGTAGCCATCCTCTTACCTTGAGAAGACAGCTGCAAAACTACAAGTTGTGTGCTGGGGTGCCTCTCCTCATGTGTGCCTGTGTGCACGTGTGAATGTGTGAGTGGGTGCCTGTAAACATTGTCCCCATCCACATAGAGACCCAACAGCCTTGTGTCTGAATGGGGTGGGGGGCGTACCCCACATCACACGCCCTCTGCCCCAGTGATTCCCCTCCGAGACATAGTGCAAATTTCAGGGGCAAAAAGAGGCAGAAGGGGAGTGGGCAGGGGTGGGAAGGACACACAGACAGGGTGGGAAGGACACACAGACAGGGTGGGAGAGGAAGGAGGGAGATAAGGCAACAGTTAAAAAACCGTCCATAGTAGGTCCACGTCAGCAAAACCAGAGCCACCTGCCTCCCACCCCCACCACACTCGGGTCACAAGAATGGTCGGAAATCGCGCTCCTCCACCAGGCTGACGGCCGGGTTCTTCAGCTCCTTCTCCGAGTTGGCCATTTTGTAGCCCAGCTGGGCCAGCACCTGCTGGCATGCGTTCTGGGCGAAGGCCACGATGTCATAGGAGAGGCGGAAGCGCCACTTCTCGGCAGTGGCCGCAGAGTTGCGCACTGTGCCGTACTTGTGCTTGCCCAAAGTGGGGTCGCCCCGAGTATTGTTCTGGATCCAGCGCGCCACGTGACCGTCCAGGGGGATACCCAGGAATTCATAGATCTCCTCTGTCTTCTTCATGGGGTTTCTGGCCAGGTCCTCATAGCGCACTAGCATGTATTTGCCCTTGAGCCAGGAGGGCCGCATCAGGCCAGTGGACACGGAGCTGGAGAAATCCTCGCACACTGTGGTCAGCTGCGTCACGTCCAGGTTATAGGGTTTCCTCCCTGTGCCGTACCAAAGCCGCCAGAGTCGGTAGGTGTCCCGGAAGGTCTCACTCCGGGAAGCCAAGATGCCACGAGGGTCTCGTACCAGCTGGATGACCTTGAGGTTCAACCTAGGGTCTTCCACCAGGGCTCGCAGGTCATTTACCTCAGGCACCCGCACAGTCTTGATGGCCACGTGGCTGCGCTCACGACAAGCCTCAGCTGCCAAGGTCAGGTTCAGCAGGCCGCACTTGCGCACACAATCCCCCTCCTCCAAGACCAGATCAGGGGACCCCGGAGGGTCGCACACTGGACGGGAGCAGAGGACCCTGCTGGCCCCTCGGCGGAAGACCCTGTCAGTGGTGTGGTTGACAGGAGGTGGCTTGATGTAATTCTCTAGAAAGTAGAGATCACAGTCATAAAGACTCCTCAGCAGGTCCCGGCTGGCCCCTAGCATGACCCTACGATCGGCCGGGCTCTTGCCCTGGGTGAAGCGGGGAATGAGTGTGTTCTGGACGTGGTAGAGAGGCTCAAACAGGTAGAAGACATCCATGTGCTGGTTGAAGAGCTGGCCCACAAAGGATGAGCCACTGCGTGTGGTGGCCAGGATGAGCACGTGGGTCTTCCTAGAGAGGTTATAGGGGAGGGTGGGGCCCTCCTCACACAGCCGCTCTGCCAGCCCAGTCTCTGCCAACCCAGGGCAAGTATGGAAAGACTTGGCGGTGAACGTGCGGATGGCGGTGTACTGGATGGCAATGGAGGCCAGGGCAAGGAGGAGGACAGCCTTCCAGGAACATTGCATGGCTGGACACCGTCATGGGGCTGCTGCTCTAAGGCACAGGGTCTGTGGACAGAGGACAGCCAAGGGTTAAGTGTTTTACATGCCAAGAGGCTCCGTGGAATCCAGGAAAACACCCAGGCCCTGCCCAGTGCTCACATATCCCCTAGGATCTACAAAACCTGCACTAGATTATCATTTTCTTGGTGTCTCCTGGGAGCTTCCAAGAGCTAAACAGACAGATTCCCTGAGCCCCAAAAGCTAAGTAAATTGTGATCACAGAGGCCTCATAGAGTGAGCTCTGGTTTCCCTAGCCCAGCCCACTTACTGTGCCAAAGCTCAACTCCCCCAACTCCGGTACTTAGGGGGTGCCTCATGCCATACTCTACCACTGCCTGTGACTTCTGCTGGATCTCCTCCATCATGAACATCATCTTCTAATCACACAGGCTGATACCCACCTTCCCAGACAATGGTCTTTCTCTCCATCCTCTACCTACCCTTAGAGGAAGGATGCACACCAAATTCCTCTCCCCAAACACAAGTCCTTGAGAGCAGGGACCCCTATGCCCCATGAGTTCTGAGTTGACAGTAAAAGTCCATGGTCCTTCTACTTTGCAAAAGAGGAAACCCAGCTACCTCCAAATATGGACTTTGCAGGCCCCTGTGATGGTGTAAGTCAACTGGCCTGAAACAAGGGCAGGTCCCAAAGGTTGCTGGGATGTGGCTCTGCCCAGGACCCAAGGTTTGTTTCTGGCTGTGAGGTAGTGATGCTCACTGCCCAGAGAAACAGTCCTTGGCTTCTCCAAGACACCCCTTCAGCCCTTTGGACCACAGAAAGGAGGATAAGGAGGGGCCAGAGGAAGGGAGAAATGGGAAGTGCATGCCATGGGCTCACAGCATGCCCCAAGCATCTTGCAAGGGATGCTGACTCAGCCACCAGGTCCTGAGAGATACCAAGGCTGCCCCCAGACCCAGTGCCAGGGAGCTCAACACTTACCAAAAAAGGACTGCTGCCCAGTAGAGACTCAGCTGCCAGTGCCTCAGATCCAGCCTGTCCGGGAAGTCCAGTGATCTGCACCTCAGCCCCGTGGCCAGGGGCTGCGGAGACAGCAGGCAGATGGGCTTGGGCTCCAGTACCCCTCTCTTTGCCCGTCTCTGTGCCCCACAGTCTGCTCTCAGACCACAAAACATGACTTTGCCTGCTCCCTGCGTTGACTGCAGACTCAGAGCTCCAGCTGATCTAACGCCACCCCTGAGTCATGAAGCCCCAACTTCGAAGCTGCAACATTTATTGCCCACCCCTGCCCACCTTCAACAAGCCATGATTTCTCTTCCCATACCAGGGCCCCTATGGGCAGGAGCTGTCTAACATGCATGCCCAAGGGCCTGAGGTGGCAGGCGCAGATGGGCTCTGTGTTGGAAATGAATAAAAACAATCCTGACCTTCCAGAATTCAACTGGTCCTGTGATGGAGGTGAGTCAACCCGGGCCTTCAGGTCTAGAAGGTAGCTCCACAGGGACAGCTGGGGACAAGCGTCTTCTTCCAACCATATGCAGCACACACAGCAGCTACCTAAAAGCCAAAGACACACTTTACCAAGCCCAAGTAAAGCACCAAAGCCAGCGTGGCTTTAGTTAACACCTACTAAGCGCTCACACAGGGCTAAGCCCTTTATCCAAATGAGCAAATTCACTCTGTAAGCAGGTTACCAGCCCCCAGCACAGGCAGCAGAGCCTCCCGGGGCCTATGGCCTGCTTTAACCCCCATCTGGAAGCTGTATACCTTCCCTCCAAGCCACAACTCTATTCCTCAAGCGTCAGCACACCTGGCCTTCAAACATGCACCAGATTCACTGCCCCAGCTCATCCATGAATCAGCGTGGGAGGGACAAGAACAGAAGGGGGTGAATTCTGAGACCTGAAATGCATCTTCTCCTTTGTCATTGTGTCTGTTAGTGGTTGGCTTGTGGCTAGTAGGTAAACTCGTATCCTTTGTGCACATCCCCTCCCACAATCTGCCGTGTGCCGACTCCTCTAGAGGACAGGTAAGTGGACCCCTGTCTCCCAAGCAAACAGAGATGCCATTTGGGGTACCCTGTCATTCCTTACAAACTGCTCTGGCAGAACAGGGGCCCACTCCATTGCTCAGACGGAGAATTTAAAGACCACTGTGTGGCTCACAAATGGGAACTAGCAGGGACCTGAGTCCCTCTGCAATCAGAGTCTGACCAGTGCTTCTCATCCCTTCACCGTGGACCCAGCATTCCAAGGAAGAAAGCAGAGCTGCAGACTCTGCTTGCCTGGGGAGAAGCACAGCGTCTGGGCCAAAATGGCCATGCCTGTTGAGGCCTGAGATCTGGGAGTCCCATTTAAAATGTGAAACTCCACTGCCACATGTAGGAATCAGTACTAGGTCGCCACAAAGAGGCAGTCAATAGGGAAAGAGGCACAGTCCAGATTCTTGGGAACCTCTCAGGGTGATCGAAGTCACAGTCTGGACCACACTCAACCTCGCCCCTGCGGCAGAGGACACTGCCCCATGGAGAGAAGACTGAGGGTAGCAGGGAGCCCTCTCTACTTTAATCCCAGGTCCCGCCAGATGCCCCATGGCAAACCCAGCACTCTTCCAAGCAGGAAACACCAGCAACAACAGAGCCCCCTTTCTCCCATCGTGACTCCACTGACCTCTGCCATGTTTCTTCACAGGCATCTACCAGTGATCTAGACCAACAGGCACTGGTCAAAAGCCACAACAAGTCAGCACTCCCAGTCTTCTTGGGTGAATGCTCCACCCTCAGGCACATGCACCCCATTGGTCAGCACCTCACAACCCAATGGGCAGAAAAAGAAGCTGAGGCACCTCAGGTTACAATAGGTTTTCCAAGTTCATGCCCCAAGAAGGGGATCGAGCCAAGATCCTAGCCCAGGCTACATGCTCTGAAAGTCGTGTTCACATCCATTTGTTGGGTCTGCTCCAGTCCCACCTCTACCTCATTCCCTTTGGTTTGTACCAAGACAGATTTCCCTGACCCTCAGCACTCCCACCCTGCAATTCCAGCTCTAAAGAGAGAATGCACGCTGAGTTCTCTTCAGAGCATAGCCTTGCATCTTTCCCAGGAGGGGACGGACATTTCAAGCTCTTTCCCCAATTTCCCTTCCCACCCTACTAGGAGAAGCTCAAAGACAGGTCTAAGAGCTGAGACTGTGCTCAAAGACACACCTCACCTCCCAAGGTGAGGAAATTCCTCTCAAGGTACAGCATGGCCTTGGTACAGTGGGCACAGGTTTGAGACCCAGCTGAGAGCCATGTGCCCACCTTCCAGGAGGGCAGAGCCAGAGTATGAGAACAGGAAGGAGGATGTTAGGACCCACTGCAAGTGCTCTGCTCTGCTGCCAGCCTGGCACAGCCAAACCCAGAGCTGGCCAAGGGTCCTTGGTATGCTGGAGGCATTTGTCCTGGAAACCAGAGTCCCCAGGGCCAGGTCCTGTTGTTCCCAGGCAAGCATGCACTTTTACAAGAGATTTCTCAATGCCTTGGTCTTCCAAGCCCGACTTAGGGGCCCATACACCTTCCCGGTTTTCCAGGAGCTTCTGATATGGCCTCCCTCATTGGTGGGTCAAACCTTGGGCATGGGAGTCCAGAATCCCACCTTCCTGTGAGAGGGCCTAGTAACCACACAGGGGAAGGCTTGGACTGCAGAGTCTCAGTCAGGTTGGGAGTGGAGAATGTTGCACAGGGGAGCTCTAATTTGCAGCTAAGGGCTCAAGCCCACCATCACACCAGCCTGCCAGTCAGAGGGCGCACACATCGGCTAAGCACCAGCTGGGTCTGAATTCACTTTTACCATCTGTAAAGGTGGCCTAACCAGAGCAGTGGTTTTAAATGACCTGAAATATTTATTCATGCCCCAGATTATGACAAGACCCTGCCTTGCAATTGACGAGTGACCTCTGGCACCAGCCCCATGGACCACAGTTCAACCGTTCACCTACCGGGAACCTCTCCTAGATTTCTGAAATAAGTTTTGCTTTGCTTGTTGCCTTAGGAAAGCGTCTCAGAACTAATTATCGGCACCCCTAGAGTCTGCTCTAACAGAGGCAGACCTCTGTAGGGCTTTGTCCACCACTGTTTCCCAAACCACTTGCCCTGCCAGAATTTTCTGCTCTAGGCTGCTGCGATGATATTTCTGCCTCCCTCTAGTGGCCAGAACTGGTAGTACACCCTCCTAACTGACTTTTTGATGTGTTCGAAATTCAGGCCTAATGGGAAGCCAAAAGGTACTGTGTTGAGTAGAAGGTGGAACGTTGCAGATTGCAGTAAGTTGTGATGATGGTATCTCCATCCAGATTCTGGCTTCTGATCCACAGAGAACCTCTTCCTCGGCTTCACACCAAGAGGCAAGTAGCAACAGGCAACCTGACTTTAGCTGGGGCCTTCCCCCACTGCCCTGCCCTCATAGTGCCCAGGCTGGAGAAGCGGTGTTGAACAGAGTGCCACTAGCAGGACTGGCCTGAAGCTTCTGCCTGTCCCTAGATGAGTGACACTGGCCCATACCTCTTTGTCCCTGGAGTTTTCCTCAGAGCCTATAACAAGGACCTCTCTATCTTAAGAAGTGCCCACACCATATTCAGGGCCAGTTGAGGCCACGTTCACATGGGACAGAAGGAAACCCCCGTGGACAGTGGGAAAACTCAAGTCACTCTCCAGAAGAAATCAGTGCTCGGTGTCTCTGTCATCCCCCACCAACCACCAGCCCCAGCCTCATTCGCCGTCCAAGACTGTCCCCCAGAGGCTCAGGGATCCAAGGGCTCTGCCCTTAGCCAAGTCCCTCTTGGTGCCCTGTGGAATTTCAGCAAACCACATCGAGGCTATTTACCTTCCCTGTTTGTTCCACGGGCGCCTTGGAAACACAGTCCGTCTTCCCAGAAAATGCCACCTGTGCCCAGTTTTACACATTCAATAATTTGGAAGTGTTCGGGAACTCCTGGAGCCAGAGTGCAGGCTACTGCCCTCCTTCACAGAATCTGAGCTCCCTCCTTACTGACACTCCCATCCCCGGGTTGTCTAAACAATTGGGGCAAAGGGTGCTCACAGAAGGGGCGGAGGACAAAGCAACGTCAAAACACATGTCCATCTGGGCCATTGGTTAGGGCACGGTGCATGAACCACCCCCGGAGGAGAGACGCTAAGAGGCTATGAAGGAATGGGCACTGTTGACAATCAGCTTTGAGTTTATTATCTTTGGGGATACTCACGGGGAGTGACCTCATCCCTGTGGAAGAGCTGGAGAGGTGTCTGAGGACAGGGTTGGTAACCAAAACCGTCCCCGACACCTACCCCCAGCCTTGGTGTGGAGCCTTGGTGTGTAGCACATTAGTGCTTCCTCCTTAGCTCTGGTGACAATGCCTATCGGCCTTCTCCTCCCCAGCTGTCAACACGTCTGGTCAAGACTCCATTGTCCTACAGCCAAGCACTGACCCTGCGCAGGTAGACATGAGAGCCAATGGTTGGCTGGAAGCTGCTGAGGCCACCCAGGATAAGCAAGGCCTTAGAGGGACCTGAAGGCTGCAGGGAGTGACTGGGGCTCAACTTGGACAAGTGACTTTTTTCCCTAAAACCCCTTTTAGAACAGCCTGGGGAGCAGGGCGCAGAGAGCAAGAGAAAGTGAGCCTGAATATCTGCTACCCAAACAAAGCCAGGACACGGGGACTCCTGGGCTCCGCGGTACCACGCAGACATCCAGGCAGGGGCAGGGGACTTGGGCAGGGAAGAATTCAGCTGGAAAGCGACCTCAGGAAACTGCATGTTTAAACCTGTTCAGCCAGCTCTGACCCACCACGGATGTTTGTTTGGTTAAGGTTTAAAAAAGCAAAACATCCAGGGGATTTTTTTTTTCCTCCCAAGGAAAATGAGGTGATGAAAACAAGGCAAAGAGAAAACAGGAGCAGAAAAGTCTGAAAGAAGGAGCCGGATCAGTTCCAAATGCCAAGTAACTTGTGGGCTTACGGGGTAGAGCTTCCTGGCAGCCAATGGGAAAAGGAAAACAACTGAGCGACATGCCTCACAGGATCCATGAGATAAAAGTTAAAGCGTGTGATTGCAAGATATCTGGCTAATAGAGGTTAGGATCCCTAGATCTCCCAAGAGGTCTCCAAAGCCACGGACCACCATGAACCCAAGCTCCCATACCCACCACACCGTGTGCTGGAGCATCCTGCAGAATTAGCAGGATGGAGGACAGAGTTATCTTGCAAGGGTGATGACCTGTCCAGGGGACAATGGAGGCAAAGAGCTTCCCTTTGGTGCCATACCCGTCTCCACTTTAACTTTAGTAAGGGCTGCAGGTCTTCCCTGCAGGATCTGCATGAGAGAGCCAGGCGTTTTTGTGTCCGACCTCTGGAGCCCTTCGACAGAACCAGACCCTCTTTTGAGCATCCCCAGCGAGAACGGGTCTTATGGCCAGGGTTCTCAAGATAGGCCAACTGTAGAGAGGGTCACTAGTTCTTTATCTTCTCACCAAAGGCACGCTGCAGTCTCCAGGCAGGTCATGCTAGTGCTCATGAGCGCTGGCACTGAGGGCACGAGGACCCTCTCGGCCGTCTCGAGCCCCTCTGTGAAGTTGTCATCGGCCTGGAGGAAAGACCTGCCCAGGGAGGCTGGGTGGGAGCCTCATTCCAGCTGTTTGGTGGCTCAGAAGCTCTGAACCAAATGCTCAACCCCTGCTGCCCTCTGTTGCTCTGAGGTGTGAAATGAGAGAAACATAGCGATCCCAGCCGGAAGCAGGAAGCCAGAGGCTGAGGATAGGAACAGATCAACATGGGGGGGGGGGGGGGGGCGGGGGCGAGTTGAACAGACAAGACCCATGAAGGGGTGTCCAGTGGTGTGAGTTCAGGGACTAACCTAGATCACAACAATCCTGGCTTGGAAATGTTCGCAGTCCCACCTGCAGGGACTTCAGCTTTAGAGGAAGGAAGCTGCTTCTGTCCTGTGTCTGGTGGCCTGGGAGCCAAGGCCTCCCTGACATGGGGTGAATGACTGCCCTCCTGTGCTGACACAAGGGCCTAGTGTACAGGAACCCGGGAGGAGAGATGAGTCAGAAAGCTGGTCCCTGTCTCAGCCAGGCCAGCCTATGAGAGGCGGAACCTGCCCCAGCACCAGACGGAAAGGCCCCGGTTTCCTGTTCCCCCCTCAGCATGGCCATGGCCAGTCGGAAGAGTACTGAGGCCCCACCCACTGGATCCTGGCTTGGTTTGGGCTTCAGTCATCCTCCCAACTTCAAGGATGAGAAAACATCAACAGGAGCCTGAGCACCCGCAGCTGCTGGCAGCTGGCAGCTGGCAGAGTGACGTCCTGTTTCTGCATCCTTAGATCCCTGTCTCCAGCCACCTGCAAGAGGCCCACCTGCCCTGTGTGCACACGAGCTGGAGGTTGGGGGAGTGAGAGAGGATGAAGCACCAAGGCTCGCCTAAGCCCTGAGTCTTAGGTAGGATGGAGCCAACCCAAAGAGATGACCGTGGACCTGGGTCCCACAGGGGGTTGATCCCACCAAGGGACCCCACAAGTAGGGAGAAAGTCCAAAGTCCAACAAAAACAGCTTGTCTATACAGCAAGGCCAGGACACCCATTCAACTGCAATGACCCAAGACCTGGTTGCAACCACAGAGCTTAAGCCCCAGGCCACACCTAAGAACACCAGTCAGCACCAGGACACCAAGGGGCTGATGCAGGGAATGCCAGGACCAAGGAGGCCACCCCAGATAAGCTAGTGATAATCATGACCTCACCATCAATCCTCAATCCTACACCTACTGACCAGACCAGGTTCTGGTGGTGTCACCTGCTGGGGACAGGGGCTACCTGTGGTTCTTCCCAAGGGTTCCCTGCCGTGTGAATGGATCTGACTATCTCACCGCTTCCCAGAGTTCCCACTGTTTCCCTGATGAATGACAAGAATAAAGATGATCACAAGTGGATATGGCTCTGTTACCTTCTGCACCCCAACTCAGGGCTCTGGGGGAGTTATGACCTAGAAGCTATGACCCAGGAATGTCACCGTCTGCTGCAGCCAGAGAACATCAGAGAATGACTTTGTAACTACAAGGTCTGAAACTGGGTGGACTGGGTGCAGGGTTTAAGCTCAAGGCCTGGGGAGGCAACCCTTCTCTCTGCACCTAGACCTTGCCACCCAGGCTGGTACCAAGGACATGCCTGCGCGTCTCATTTGCCACCTCTCCCAGGTGACAGAATTAGGAGCATCACACTCTCCCCATGCTCATGACAAGTTGAACGAACATCTCTGGTTGCTGTGAACAAAGACCTCTAGAGTAAAGTGTAACGTAGCTGTTCCCCCAGAGTTCAGAACCGTGGTGTGGCTGCCACGCATCACCCCAAGGGACCGCCTGCAAGCTCGGGGTGCAGACACAGCTGTGTCTGCTTCACAGGTAAGACTCTGAAAGGTTATATAACGGGCCAGAGAGATGTCTCATCGGGTAAAGGTGACTGCCACCAAGCCTGATGATCAGAGTTTGATACCCAGGACCCATGCAGTAGAAGGAGAACCGCCCACAAGTTATCCTTCGACCTCATCAAAGGTACTGTGGCACGCACACATCCACATATGTACACACACAATAAGATTAAGAATATATAATTTCCCTTTTAAAGAAAGAGCATTTAGGTGGCTGGATCACACCTAAAGCTTACCTATAAGCTTTCCTTTCCCTCTGGCCTCCTGCAATTTCTGGAACCCTGCCCCCAACTTAGTTTTCCTGACCCTGTTGGTCCATCGTCCATGCTGGAGGGGGAAAGCCAGACCCGCAGTCTTAGGCAGCCTGACCCTCTCTGAGCCTGGCACGCGGGAGGACAAGGCCACGCCCGGTTCACAGGGCTCAAATGAATCAAGTGAGTTCTCAGCACAGGGATGGGTCTGTGGCCATCACTCAATTAGTGCTGTCTTCAGAATGTCAGCAGCACAGACATGTCTGTCCTTTTCTCTACCCTGCAGAATCCTTGAAGGATAGCTCCAGGGATCCCTCCCTCAGTGTCCATCTTGGGGCACCTACACACTCAAAAGTCCCAACAACTCACTGGTGTCCCAGAGACTCCAGAGAAGGGGGGGCGGGGAGGGGGCTTGCCTTCCTCCACATCCCTGGGAAGGAGACCGTGCTACCGGCAACCCCCAGCTCACAGCCCTTCGAGCTCTAATCAAGGAACAAACACAAAGAGAGAATCTCTAAACATTTGGAAATTGCGGGAACCCTGTGCCCCCACACGGCACTGTGGGGATTTATAAAGAACAAATCATGCCTGACAAACTTGATAGCTTTCTTGATAGAATTACAAGACTGGTGGATGAAGGAAATGCAGGCAGGGTAATATATCTTGATTTTTAGCAAAGCATTTGATACAGTGCCTCGAGTAATCTTACAAAATTAATTCAAACAGACTTGGCCCTCAGCTCTTGTCATGGGGCCTAAGGGCAGGAGGGGACATGTCCCAAGAGTCCTGAGTGGACGAGGCAAGGCCAGGGGCAAGGGCTGGAAGGCAAAGAGTCTGAGAGTGGGGGCAGAGCTGCCGGGTCCGTGCCAGGCCACATCTTATCTAACATCTTCATTAATGATCCTGAGAGAGGGAGTAAACAGTCCGTTAATGAAATTTGCAGAGGATATTAAATTGTAAGGTGTTGTGAACACCAATGAGGACAGTAAAGTGGTCCAGAGAGACCCAAGGCAAGACCCCGAGAGCTGGCAGGGACGGGGGTGGGGGTGGGGGTGGAAGGCAGTTGCCAAGCTCCTTGGAGAGCTAGAGGGAAGGAAAGGGGCATCCCCCCCGCCCCCACCGCCCCCCCCCCCCGCCTGCTGTGCAGCTGGGAGAGGTCACAGCTAGCTTGGGTTCTGGCCTGGCCGAGCAGGTTAACCCCAGGAATCTTATTTTGGGCGTCTGTAAAATAGAAGAGGCAGCAGATAATTCCCTTGCAGCTGAGATAGCAGGTAGGGGTGGGTGGAGGGAGTTGAGGGGATTTGGGACAGGATTCCACCTAACAAGAGAGGGCCCTGCAGGCCATGGGTGTGCTGCATTGACAACCGGGGTTCAGGGAGGAGACTGTGTGTGTCACTGGCAGCCTGAATCTTCCTAGGCCATGCCCCTGCCCCCATACTGCTGGGGCTGGCCCTGTTAGCCTAAACCTCTCCCAACCCTACCAGCTCCAACCTAAGGACTGTGCTCCCAACCCTGATTCTCATAACCAGATGGACCAGCCTCCCCAGAATCAGGGGAAGGGGCCTGAGCCCTTCTCTCTGCCACAGGGCCCCGTTCTACCTCTACCTCTTCTGTCCTAGCCCCAAGGGTCTCAGCAAGCAACTCTTCCCCAGGATGCTGAAGCAAAGCCATGTGGCCTTGGAGGGTTTCTTCTCACAAGGTTCCTGGGCAGGGAAAGTCTCCAAAAGAGCCAGGCTGCAGAGCACCAGGCTGAAAAAGCCTAAAGTAAATCTCTATGAGAAGAAATGAGTGCCTGATTCCCGGCAGGGGTGTCAGGGCTGTGAAGGACCACTCTTCCCAAGCAGGCCAGCCCTGGCAGGTGTCAGACCAGCAACTGGGACACAGGGGAGGGAGCCTGGTGAACCTCTCCCCATTAGGTAAGTAACCATGACACTCTCCCATCACACACTGTGGTGCTGTTGTGTGTTCCACATTAATGAACTTGACCTTCAGGAGCCTATTAGGTAGGTATTGCTATGGCCCTCAGTTTACAGAGAAAGAAACTGAGGCATTGAGAGGTCACCAGAAGCTTGAGAACCTAGATCATGGAGGTGTCGGTTGCTGGCCAGTAAGTGGCCCCCAAGGGAGAATCCTAGCCCATGGAGAGAGGCAGCCTCTCTTCTGGGGAGATCAGAGCCTTCTTTGCCCATCTATCTTTCCCAGCAAAGGGAGTTGGTCCAGCTCTAGCACACTTGTGGAGCCTGATTTTACTATATGTTTCCCTTCCTTCCCCCAATGCCTTGCTACACCGAGTCCTCTGAACAAGTCTGTTTCCATGGAAACCATACAGTGACTCAGGGCTTCGGGACCTTCTCAGAACCAGATTATGACTATCAAATGCTCTCCCTCCTCGCACACTTTCAGACTCCCAATGTGTAAGGATGGGGTACAGCAGATGAGCAAGAGGGACCTGGGGGGCACAAACGAGACCTCGCTGAGAACCTGACACCCAGGGCTCCTGCAGACTCGGTGGAACAAAGATACATCCCTCCTCCGGGGCAGCCTGGGGTATTACCTGCACTAGCACCCTCCACACAAGCCTCCCTTTGGAGCTAGGGTCCTTGGGAGAGGGCACAGAGATCTATGCCATCCTCTGAGGAGAAGTGACCTGGGGACCAGGGCAGAGAGAAGGGGGATAACTTAGGATGCTCAAAAGGAAAACATCAGCCCAAAGCTCCACAACTACTCAGCAAAGAGGGAAATGGGGATTTGAAGTCAGGGGAGGGGGGATGGGAAAGGGTCGGCCGCACTGAGATGAGGAAACAAGGTGTTTGGTGAGGGAGGAGGTGAGATCTCAAAGCCCAGCAGTACCGGGAGGGTCAGCAGCGGCGGCTCTCTCTTACTTACACACCTCTCCTCTCCCCACAGACACTGTGGTCTGGGCTGCTCTTGGGCCACTCACTCACCAAGATCAGGGACAACAAGCAAGCAGTCAAAGGTTGCGGTGACAGGTCCCTGCAGGGGTCCAAGACCCAAGGACATATCCACCCCCTCCCTTCCCCAGCAGCTCCCTAAAGCCCCAAGAGGGCGGGGAATAGAATAGGTTGGAAGCTTGATCTCTCCCTGGTGAATCCAGAGTGTGAGTCATGACGGCAGAAGCACTTTGTAAAAAAGAAAACAGGGTCACCATGATGCCTCGAAGTGTGGCGGCTACTGGGGACTGGAGCCTGGGAACTGCCTGCCAGGTAAGGTCTCTTTGTGAGACAGCCCAGCCCCACCTAAGGGGCTGAGGAACCAGGGAAAGTATCTCTCTCCCTGGTCTATAAGCTTCCTGTCTGCTTGCCTCTTACACCCACTGGTATCTCTGTGGCTTTCCCAAGCGGCTCCCTGCCCATCCAGAATGCCTGCCTCCTGCCGCCATCCTAGGTCCCTTCTTGTCCCTAGGTTCCACCAGATACTGGGCTGAATTCCTATTCCCGAATGGACATGCACCTTCCCTGTCCCAGCCTCAACCTCCCAGCGGTCAGCTCTAACATCCCTAGCACCTGGATGCCTGGATTCCCTGGTGCCCAGGAGCCTCTTGCTTAAACAGTTGTTAAGTCCATCAGGAAGCCAGAACTAGGAATGTAATCCCGAGAAAGGGTAGGCCTGGAGTAGGGAGAGGTGACACAGTGAGACCCCTGAAATCAAACCAAAGTGCTCCCCCCCCCGCCCCCCGTCCCCGCCTCCGCCCCAGCAGGACCGTGAGGTCTTACCTTCCTCAGATAGCTTGGCCTTTTAACCCATGGATCCCAGCTAGAGCCACAGTCGATTGTTACTGTAAAGTCAAACACTGCGTCCCTTCCTGGAGCCTGAGAGGAGCTGACCAACCTCCCCGAGCCCCGACCCCAACCCTCCACCCCTGTCCTACTCAGAGAGGAGCTAGGGTTGTTTGGGCGTGGAGGGCTCTGCACCGGCAGGCAGCCCAGCCTCCTAAGGGCCCATCCCATCACAGCATAGTGGGAGCGGATGCAAGACCGAGGCTAGACGCAAGAAGCTGGGACAGTGCTTTGCCTCAGGGTGTAAGCCTGGTTTGGAAAGTTAGAGGAGGCACCGGAACCTCAGGGTCTCTGGAAGCCTTGGCAGCCCCGAGTCGAGCTGTGAGATGGTGAACCCGGAGCAGACACCCGAGTGCATTCCGCAGCAGAAAGGGAGCTCCGGGCCGACGCTTATCCCAAGTTTGCTGCCCTCACCAGATGGGGGCAAGGAGGGGCTGGGGCGATCGCCGCGCTCCGGGTCTACCAGCCCAGCCAGCCCCTCCCAGCACCCAGCACTCTGCGGTCCCCCGCCACCGCCTCCGCGCACCGCCCAGAGACACCGGCCCCGAGCTAGGGGCGTCTCCCGCCGCGCCCGCGCCCCTCCCGGCTGCTGCGGTGCAGTCCGCTCCCGCCTTCCCCGGAGCCCGCGGGGCCCGGCCATACCTGGTGGCAGGCGCGCTGGGAGCCGCTGCAGCGCCCAGCGCCGGCTCCATCCTTGGTCTAGAGTCAGGCTCGTCGGGAGCCCGCGGGTGGCGGTGGCGGTGGCGGCGGCGGCGGCATCCTCCTCCTCCCGCGCCCTGCTCCTCGGCCTCCCTCCTCCCGAGCCTCTTCCTCCGCCTCCACGCGTCCCTCACGGGCCCCTCTCCATGGCCCGGGGGCTCTAGCCCGGGGTGGCTGGCGCAGCACAGTGCCTTCTCCCGGGCAGAGAAAGAGAGCGATCGCTGGTCAGAGGGGCGCAGGGCCAGTGATCCGGACCCTGAGCACTGCAACCCCAGGCTCCGGAGGACAGTAGCAGCCACGGAGGCCGGAGCCTCACGGAGCACCCTCCTCGCGTCCCCGAGCCTAAAACAGCGGCCGCTGCTTCAACACCGAGCTAGCGGGTGGCAGGCGCTGCGGTCCCGGCTCCACCCCCAGCGCCACCCGCCCCCTCTCCGCCCCACCCCGTCAGCGCGCGCCCTCCCGCCCCCCGCGCAGCCCAGGCCTCGAGCGCCGGGACACCCCCTCAAGCAGGGGACTGGGGGCCAACCCCCCACCGGGCAGGGGCAGCCACGCCCACTCCGAGTTGAGGAGGCCAAGCGGTAGGAGCCTCGGTACCTCTTGGCCTGCCCTCTCTCCCGCACCCCCAAGAGGGAAGGCACCGCTCTATCTATGCAGCCAAAACCTCTGGATCTCCAAATCTGGCTACAGCTCCAACCTGACCCTGGGTCCCAATAGCTATCCTCTGTCAGCGGAACCAGAGCAGAGACTCCCGAACCCAGAACCGGAGTCAGCTTTCCACCACATACCCGTCTTCCCTGGTCCTGCTCCCTTCACCCCCAAGTAGAAATGTTTCTCTTGCCCCAGAGACTGTCATCCCTTCTCGGCAGGGCCCGGGAGGAGCTGGTGAGACACTAGAGTTTCTTTGCTGGAGGAAGCCTTCCACCCGGTCCCTTCCTGCCGAGCTACATCTGGCCTCCCTGGTGGAACCAGGACAGCAACAAAGCCCTTGCATCACCGTGGTCCTTCATTCTCTACACAAATATTGACTGAGCATCTCCTGCATGTCATAAGCACCAAGCACTAGCCAGTGACAAGACAAACAGACCCCTGAACTCTCAGTGTGGCCTGGAGGAAAAACAAGGTAAACTGTGGCCCCTGAGCAGGAGGGGAAGGAAAACCTGCTTCTGCCTATCCACCACCAAGGCTTCCCCACATACAAACCCAGGCCCCACCACGGCCTGTTTCCCTGGCTGAAGATGGGTACGTAGTTTGGAGGGCTCTGACCATGAGATTGTCCCAAGGCAGTGGGAGAGCCCTGAGCTCCCATCTCGAACATCGCTAAATTCTCCTGGAATCTCTCATTTCCACGGTCGATCACTCCTGACACGGGTGCCGAGAACAGCCAGGGTTTTGAAAATGAGGCCTCCCAGGGCAGAGGGGCCTTTGTGGGTTTGCTGTGGGACTGCATGATGCAGCCTCTCTTGTGCCTCAATTTCTTCATGGGGAAAATGGAGATACTGATTCTTATCTCCTAGGGCTACTGTGAACGCCAGAGAGTGAAAGAGATGTAGAACACACAGTGCCTAACCATGGCAGTGGTTGGTTGTGGAATATTTGCTTGCTCACTAAGTGAATAATAGAATGTCTTGGATTCTCTGGGAGACCCCAATAGGCATATCTTCACAAAAGTTTCTACATGCAATCAGATGGCATGAAGGCCCCTGCCCCAAGGGTCCCAGGAAGCCAAACAGTCATTTATCTTGGTTACAGTTGCCAGCTCCTAATTATAAGCTCCTGTCCCCCACAACCTCCTCAGAGAAGGCAGCGAGCACCACCTTTCATGCGGTCCCCTGAAGCAGTAGCTCTAGCAGCAGCCGTGACCAGGAGCCCTGATGTGTCCAGGAGCCCTGCTGTGTCCAGGAGCCCTACTGGGCTTGCCCACTCAAGGCAGGGCTCAGCCCCAACATTGAAATGGTCGCATGGCTTCAGTCGCCTATTCACCCCACTGGTAGGTGATTGTGTTCTGAAATGGCCAAGAGGAGGGAGCCAAGCTTGCAGGAGCACCCCAGGCTTCAGACTCCCTCCCATTTCTCCATGGAAAACCTGGCTCCCATCACCCTGGATGAACCAGAACATTCTCTCTCACCCAGGTTAATCCCCGCCCGAGTTTCATCTAGACAAGAATAGCCAGAGCTGGAGCCTCCTCTATCTCCCATTCTCAGGTCCCAGCAACTCATGTTTCAAACTCTGCTGTAATTCAGGTGGAGAGGAGGGTGTGCTTGAAATGTGAAGATGGAGTGGAATTGGAGGAAAACATATTCAAACCCTAAAAACAGACAAAGACCTGGTCTCAGGAGCACCACGATTCCGTTTCTTGTCGCCTGGAATCTCCCCACATAATGAAAATAAGTGTTTCTTAGGTGCCTACTATGTGCAAATCACTGTGGCCAGTGCTGTCAGGGAAAGGGGCAGAGAAACAGATGCAAAGGCTTTGTGCTCAGGAAGCTTGGCTCCTGAGCACGCAATGAAACAGCAAATAGTCCCTGGTGAGGGGTGGGGAGTGGAAGTAAAGAGCACAGACTGCTCTTGAGAGAACTCCTCAGATCTCAGGACCTATGTCAGGCAGCTCACAACTGCCTGTGGCTGCAGCTCCAGGGCGATCTGATGCCCTCTTCTGGCCTCCACTGCACATCTACACTTGTATGCAAGACACATAACACACACATACTTTAAAACAAATGTTTTATTTAAAAAAAAAAAAAACTTCAGAAAGAATTGTCACTGGAAATGTGAATTTTTTGAAGTGACCTAGTAAGTCAGAGGAAGATAAAGCCTTGGAGGGTCATTCAGAAGGGCTTCTGGAGGAGGAGAAAACTCCAGGAGCTAGAGTTTGTGGGAAGAACAGGGCATACAAGGCAAAGGAAGAAAGAGCAGCCAGCCTGACTCTTTGACGGTAGGTAAAGAGACTGCTAGTAATATGGCTGAGATCGCTTTGTTGGATCCTCAAAAGCAGCCTGATGTGGTAGGAATTGCCATTCCCACTTTACAGATGAACAAACTGGGAGCCGAAGGAGTCACGTGACCTGCCAGGTTGCAGAACTAGTTAGATATACAGTAAGTAGCCAGGCCAGGGCCTCCCACTGGGGCCACACTGGGCCAGCCTGGTTTAAAGAAGTATCTATGGAAAGGACCGGAGGCCAGGTGGGCCGAGGGTGGGGCTTTCAGCATCTCCCCGACATAGGTGCTTCCCTGACCAGAGCCCCTGAACAGGTCTCCCAAGAATTCAATGTGAGTCATTTCCTCCTCTGCCCCAGCATTTGGGTCTCAGAGGCAACTGGAAATTTGTTAAGGGATTTGGGACTTGGGATCCCAGTGTTTTAATCTCTTTCAAGTGTCCATGTGATGGCAGTCTGTGCCACCCACCTTGTTATTTCAGTCGACTCTGAGAGATTGATGGCCCGGGCTTTGATTTCAGATGTGCAGCAGAGCTCCTTTGTGTCCTGTGTCTCCCTAGGACGCTGATAAGGCTACAGGCATGCAGGGGGCAACTCCCAGCTGTCCCTGGACTCCAGACCCAAGCGCTTCAGTCCCTGTAGAGAAAGTCCCAACCAGAACAGCCTGGGCAAAGCAGGTGGGCCCAGCAGGTAAGCCTACCCCACGTCCACTGCTGAAGAAGGTTGCTCAGTGAGAGCACTGGTGGACAAGCTGGGACTCCAAAAGGGGCAAATGACTTACCCACAAGGAGATGCGCTCAGCCTCCACGCAAGTCTACGGCTTCCTGAGAGAAAGACCTCTAATACTTCCCTACTTCTGCTTCTGCCCTGTTTCAGATGTGTTCCTTTTCTAGAAAAATGAGAGCAATAGCTCCATGGTTGAAATGAAACAAGTGTTTGAAGCCTTACCTGTGACCAGACACAAGTTAGATCCTCAGTATTATAGTAAGCTGTTGTTCCCTGCGCTTCTCTGGGGCCAGAGGCCGCCAGACCCGGTGAGCTCATAGCTTCAACAGGCTATGCTGTGGAAAAGGAAAAGGAAAAGCCTTTCCTGATCCTTCGGGTCCTCCAGCTGAGGCCGCTTGAAAGCTGTCCCCCTGCTGTAGAGGGACACTGTGCTGGCCCCAGGCCAGCCGGTCACCAGCCATCACCACTGGCTATCTGTTGTGTTCTTTGCTCCTGCAGGAGGTTTCGAGGGTCTCCCTCCCCCCAGAGTGCAGGAAGACCACCACCTTCCCCAGTACCCTGGGGCCCAAAGCAACTCTGCTACCTTTGTCTCCAGGAACCTCCCGGCAAACAGCTCTTCCTTCTGGCAGTTGTAGCCTTTAACCTCTGACCTCAAATCCAGGGGCCTTGGACAAAAGCCCTTCTCCCTCTTGACTGTCTTGCTCCTTCAAGCCACTCCAACAGAAAGTCCCCTCCTTCCCAGTTACAGACCCAAGTCCCCCAGGGAGAAGAAAGGAAGCCACCAAATCCTGGAAGGGAGGGAACAGAGAAATTCAAGGGTTTGCTCTGGTCAGGAGCCAGACCAGACTACAACTGCCATCTTGTGACACACTTGTTACCAGCAGCTCCCAGCACCACCCTACCCCAAGCTCTTGGCCTCCCTGGGTCTGATAGGGACAGGGAGGCAGAGTGACCTGGGGACTGGGACAGAGGGGGCAGGCTCCAGGCTCCCGAGCCTCCAGGCTTTATCTTCCTTCCTTGACCTCATGTGGTTCAGCAAACGCTTGCCAAGGTAAGTGGTATTCAAGTCCCCTAAGTTCCCGAAAGGAAGGAGAGGTCGAAGAAGGCCAAATGTCCACTTCCTTCTGAGGAAGAAGCCTTTCCCAGCCCGCTCTGCTGGCTCTTGCCTTACTCAGTGAAAAGACTCAGGGGCCTAGCTGGGGACATCTGGGCTCTTGGGACCTTCTCGCCACCTTCCTGCAGTGGGAGTGGAATGGCGGCCTCAGGCCCAGGTCTGGCTTATTTAAGCACAAACACCACCACCACCACCACCACCAACACCACCATCACCATAGATCTGGCACCAGAGCCAGATCCTGAGACACTGGCTACAGAGTCTTGACCCAAAACAGCAAGGTCTGTGACCCTGCAATCCTGCCACTGACCTAACAAGATGATACTGTGAGCATCTCACAGGCCCTGGGGTGCAGGGGGTGGTAGAAGTTGGAGGCAAATAGCAGAAGAGGATGATTATGGGCTGCATTAAAAATTCTTCCCCTGTGTAATTCTCAGGCTTCTATGGGGCTGTTTCCACGGTGAAGAGAAGCTGAACCCAGGGAAGATAGGCTCCTGGCCCTGTGGCTACCCACCCTGCTCCTGCACTCAATCCTGGACAAGACACTTCAGCACGGAGTTGACGGTCCAGCTGAGAGTCTGGCAAGTGCCAGAGAGAGACTGCAGGCAATACCAGCCCCAAGTCCTGTGGCAAGGCCTCTAATTGGCAGAGATAGAAAGGGAATGGCAGTATGTGGGTCCAGGAAGTAATTCAAGGGCTTATTCTGGGACTATCTGAGGCCACAAGGACTCCGAGACCATATCCTAGGAGTAAGAGCTACCTAGAACAGCCACGACTCCCTCACACTTCAAGCCCTCAGGAAGCCTGACTCTTGTCTGAGAAGCCCACTCCTGATGCCCCTCCCTGGCCTCTGGCCTGGCCTTTTCCAGTCTTCCCTCCTACTTACCCCTCTGCCCACCCCGCTTGCTCATGGAAGAGACAAGGGGTTTGATACCTTCTGGTCCCCAGCTCCACCTTTCAGCAAGCCCTGGCCGGGGTTGAGAAGGCTGGAGGCACTTCTGGAACATTCTCTGCAGGCAAGGGCAACAGGCAGGGCAGGGGTAAGCATTGCCTCCAACAGGCAGGAATCAAAGGGGGGAAGGTCAAGAGGCAGTGTGATCCAGGGCCATTTCTGAAGTCTTTCTCAGGAATGCTATAGCAGGATGACCTGGAGTGTCAGTCCAGAGTGCCACACCAGGGAAGTCTGGGGTGCTTCCTGAAGAAGGAAAGACCTGGTAATGGAGGTCTGGAGCTTCCATGGGACCCTCAACAGGACTACCCACACTTACTCATCCCGGGAGAGAGAAGAGAAAAACAGATATTCACTGACCATGTCTCTTACCTGTACTCCAGCCTCTTATCCAAGGTACCAGCTCTAAGGGCATTATCTACCCTGACTCAGGAATCAAGGAAGTGTATAGTAGGTACCAGGCCAGGAGGAGCTTGGATCTTCTTCAACTGCAACTGCAGCCAGCCTCCTCATCCAACAAAAACAAGACCCACATCATCTAGCTCCCTCAGGGTCCAAGCCTTCTCTCCATCAGATACAAGGCCCAGAAATGCCTGAACGGCTGGGAAAGGCCTTCTACTCTGCTCAAGCCTATGTAAGCAGTGCCACAGAGACCAAAAAGATGTCCAGGAGTCCAGGGTGTAACGCTTAAGACATCCACTAAGGACATCTCCCATTCCTCAGTCTTTAGGGCCACCTGGAGGCTCTTTTGACCAAATCTTGAGCTGGGATTACAACATCAATACCGTCTAATCCAGCCCCTCCACCCCTGCAATGACTAACCGTTAAGAGATACTGGGTGTGTAGGCAAAGTGCCTCTCTCGCCAGGCCAGCAGGAGCTCAGACTCTCTCCCTTCCTCTCTCTGAAGAATGGTTGTCCTGCCTGCCAGGGGTGGCAAGCTTGTGGTCTGGACACTGAGGTCACTTCTCCCACTGGACAGCCCAGGCCTGGTCAGTGCCACACCTGCAGGACTCCAAGGACTCAGTCCAGGAACAATGGGGCCATTCACTCCACCTAGCTTGTGCATAGTGACCCTCTCAGTCTGTCTTCGTGGCTAAACAGTGTATTAAGTGTGTACTTGTGTGTGTGTGTGTGTGTGTGTGTGTGTGTGTGTGTATGAGAGAGAGAGAGATGGGGGTAGAACTGAAGAGTACAAGCAGAGGCAGCAGCAGGAGCACCAGCCAGGGATTTGTAAGAACACCAATCACCTTTATTGAGCAATTACTACACATATGCATTATCCTCAAAATACCCTGTGATCCAGTTCCAATGTAACACCTCAACACATTTTTGGCATTGCCAGGGCCTTGTGCATGCTAGGCAAGCACTCTACCACTGAGTCACATCTCCAGCCCGCAAGCCACATTTTAAAGAAAACAGAGGTGATAGTGACTTCTGCACAGTGGCCTTGACTAGGAAGGAGCAAAGGGGGTCTTTCTGAAGCCCCATTCTTAAGGGTTGCAGTCACATGGGTGTGCATATCTGCAGAGGTCCACTGTGTGGCCCACTGAAGAACTGTGCGAAATAGAAAAATGGTGTCTGTTGCATCCATGGGATAGAACTCTTCCCAACTGCAAAATTAAATTTCCAACAAGGAAGTGCTTTGGATACTCACATAGGTTTCCCAAAATAGTCCACTAAGTGGAAAAGAGCAGCATGAAAGACAGAAAAATGTGCAGATGCTTATTCTAAAATTCCATCTATACATGTCTGCTGGTGTGTGTAGATCATCTCCAGAGAGACCCACAGAAACCACAGCTGCTTCTGGGGACAGTAGCCATCTGGTCCAAGACAGAGGCAGGAGGAAACGCTTCCAAATACAGCCTTTGCTTCACCTGTGGGAGCAAATCACTATTCAAAAATGAAGGGAAATTAAAGCAAACAATCAGAGATCCTAAACTGCAGCTTCCCAGGTATTATTATCCCAATGACTTTTGTGCATTTGAAACCAATAGAAATCTTGACACCAACCTTAGGGCTGTGGCTGCCCCTTCCCCCTAAGGTCAAGGCTGACCTCTACTACAGACTCTCCAGGACCCAGGTTGAAGCACCAGAGCAACTACAAACTTCAGAAAGCCAAGCAGCCCTTGGACCCCCGAGTGGGGTGTGTGATGTAGAATGCAGATATTTCATCCCAGTTTCTCAGGCCAGGGTGACTCCTCAAGACTACCACACAGCCCAGTGGCTCAGAGCCCACATCTCTGCCTCCTCCCTGGTGTCTGCCTACAGACCCCAGCTAACAGGGTCTGGGGCTGAGGACCCTGGACTCCAGGAATCCAGACTGAGAAGCTTATGGAAGCTGTCACCCTAAGCTAAGGGAAAGATCATGGGAGTAAAAGCAACAGGGCTTTTGCTGACACAGCTGAGCACATGGCTTCTTGAAAAGATCGAGTGTGACTTACGGTCCTGTGTTCAAATACCACTCCCACCAACGTGCTGGCCTTCAGACCTTAGGCGAGCAGAGCCATCTCTGTGCACCTGTTTTTTCCGTTTCAATAAAAACGATGGCACCTACTGTCTATTTGAATGATTATGAGGATAACTGGGTCAACAATGATCCCTGATCCCTGAACCTAGAGGAAGGTTAGGCATCTTACAAAGAAATCCCAGATAGCAATAGGGTCTTACCATCAAGTTTTGGAAGGTAACCGAGAGTATTGGCAATAGCCTGTAATTTTAGGGGTCTATGGGACCTCACTAGCCATCCCTGGCATTGACCTTTTTATTTCTCAGCCTGAGGTGTCTAGTGGAGGTCTTGTTACTTACTCCACTATAGGGTAACTCCATTTAGTGTGATCAGCTAGCTCCCTGCTCCCAACAGCATGCCATGTCTTCCCCGCCATTGTGGACTTCTAGACCTCGGGAACCATAAGCCAAAATAATTTTTTTCTAACTTAAAAAAGAAAGAAAAAGAAATCTCAGGAGGAAGTGCTAGAGCTGGAGCTTCAGCCATTCGGCCGCTAAGAGCCTTTGTTAAGGAAGGACTGGGCCAGGCCAGGCCAGACACCATGATCAGAGCAGAGATTGTTGTAAATTTACAAAATGCTGTACCTCCTCCTGAAGGGGTGAGCGGGTATCTCCTGGGTTCCCTCCTACATGAGAGTTGTCAGGAAAGTGGAAGTCACAGAGCTGAGGAGTGGTGAGGTCCCAGGTCCAAAGCCTATCTCTAAGCATCTAAGAGGAACCCAAGCGGGGAGCATGGGCAGTCCAGGGTGTGTGAGTCCTTCTCTAGCCCCACAGCAGCAGTTATCCTAATCACCTACGTTACCCCACACTTTGCACCCCTGTCGGAGACCTGCCACTGACCATTGACCAGAGGCCCGCAGACGTGGGCCCGGCTGGCCTAGAAGCCAAGTTGTGAACCTCTGAGCTTCACAGAGATGAGCTGCTGTCTGAGTCTGGATTCTTTGAGGACTGGGCATGGCTGCCAGCAGACAGCAATTCTTCTTCCTCACCCATCCCCCCCACCCGCCTTGTCCTAAGACCTCACCTACTGCATTGAGCTCTCACTCAGCCAACACAAAGGACCATCAATGCAGGCTCAGAGATCTTGAGTAGGCACAGAGGAGGTCAGAATAAACCAGGAGCAGCCCCCCACCCTCAAAGAGCTGAATGTCAGTGTAGTAGATGTGGGATGTGCTGGGTTGGGAGTAGACACAGAATGTCAAGGACCAGGCAAGATGATGGCAAGTACTAGATCTAAGGGTTAGCTGAAGACCATGGAATGCAGAGGGACAGTTTGGTTCTGTCTGGAAAGGGCTGTCCTACAAACTTTATCCCCCACCCCCAACACCACATCCACACTCCTGTCACCTTAGCCAGATAATCTGAAAGCCATTTATTTTACAATTGAGCACACCAAAGTTCCAACAAGCAATCAGCTCAGAGCTAGGCAGTCCCCAGCACTGTGGCTGACCTCACGAGGTACCACCTCCCTCATGTAGTGGAGAAACTTCCCACTTGTTATTCTGAGGGGATATGGTCTCAAGACCCTAACACAGTTCCATCTCTCCATACCCTCCTACACCCTCTCAATCTATAGCAGACCCGCTCTCTTCAAGAGGCCCCTGGTAAGATTCAGCCATTGACCCAGCATTACCCAGTGCCTCACCTCTGCCAACTCTGTTTAAATACCTTCCCCCTCCCCACGTTTGAAGATAAAATGGGGGCTTTAGGAGGCGAGCTCACAGGGTTATTTTGGCCAGCCCATCTGAACAATCCAGGGTGAGTTACTTTTGGGCCTCTCCAAAGTGGCTCAATGCCTGCCACTCAGCTGTTTTCCAAGTAACGGGCTCAGAACACAGCCATGCTGGAAGTGTCTCCTCACACTAGGTGCTGACCCCTAACTCTCTAAAGGAAAGGTATCTCTTAAGAGGGCAACCCCTTCCAATAGCAGCCTGCAACAGGTGGCGGGACAGGCTGTAGGAACAGCAAGACAACACATTCCAAGGCAGCCAGGTCACCACCACCTCCCAACCTGCTCCTCAGACTGTCGGTGAGCAAGAGCTTCCCATCCCAGCTAAGAGTGGAGAGGAGGAGGAGGAGGAGAGCCCTGGCCTGGAGCACAGGGCAACAGTTTAGCTCCTCGGGGCCTAGCATTACGGAAGACCCCTAGAAAAGGCTTTGCAGTGTAGACACCTTCCTTACCCCACAGAGAGAGACATCCTAAGTCAACAACTTGGAAACAAGAGGGGTGCCGTCCTCCACTCTCATTGCACAGACGCAGGAGGGTGAGGCGGGTGGGACTGACACACGCTTCTCATCCAGGGATATGTTAGGAGCAGAGCACAGGAGCAGCCTTCTGTCTGTGAGCTGGAACTTGGAACCAAAGGTCTGCCGAAGAAGCAGCTTTCACTGAGACCCCATCAGTCTCATCCCAACCCTTCCTCTCTCAACAGACATGGTTTGACCACCAAGGCCGCCTCTGCCTCAGGGACCTTTATGAGTCCCTCTCCTTGAAGAGGAAGGTCTCCTGATAAGAGTACAGTGAAACAACAGGCTCTTTGTCCACTCTCGGCCTCCGTCTTAACTGGGGGCATCAACAGTACATACCTCACTGGGTTGTTGAGAGGAGTAGAGGAAAGAAGGACCTGAGCTAAAGCGTTTGACAGTAGTAACAAGCACCGTAGATACTCAATAAATGTCAGGTACTATTATTATTAGGGCCATCATTAGTACTGTGGCTGAGAGACTGCCTAAAAAGGGTCCCTCTGATGGCCCGACCCCTCCCCCACCAGTGACATATCTGCTCAACTTTGTAAAACCGTAAGGAGAAGAAACAGGACTCCCTGGAGGGGACTTTGCCTACAGATGTGAGAGCTTTTGGAGCTAGAGGTGGTGAGCCAGGAGGGAGAAGCAGGCCAGGCTCCCTGGAAGCCCTACAGACAGCAGAGGCTGCTGTTACAGGCAGCCCAGCAGGATCTGAGCCTGTGGGGGAGACCAGGACAAGGAGTTGTGCAAGGAGAGAGTGTGGGAACACAAAAAGGTAAGCACAGCATCACTGGCAGAGGCTGTCTCGGGCAACATCCTGGGCAATGCTCTAAACCTCTGCATGAGGCCAGAGCGCTGGGGGAGGTCTAACCCGTGAGGCATCTAGGAACTATGCCTGTTCTCAAAGCTCGCACTACCTGCTACCTGCCAGTTCCTTCAGTGCATGCCTTGCTACAGAGCGCGTGCGCGCGCGGTGAGCTCTCCGGTCACACTCCTTAAATCAGGGCAAGGCTGCTTCCAAGCTCTGCTTTCCTCTGTTCCCACCCTATGGGACAGCACAGTGACGTCAGGGGCTGTTGGGGGGGGGGGGGCAGTTCTACAGGAGACCATATCCAGACAAAGTCCCATTTAATATGCTATGTAGCGCAGGGGCGGGAAGGGGGCATTTGCAAGCTCCACTGTCCCTTTCCTCCATTAACACTGCCTATGCCCCCTGGTTTTCAAAGGGGACTATGGCCCATTCTGACCCTGGACCACCTCCCTTGATTGCCCTCCCAGTGGCATCCAGGCCACCTCTACCATAGCTGGTAGTCACTAAATTACCAACTAAATGAATCATGGAAGTGATCACACAAAGCAAGGTCAATGAGACCAACAAGTAAGTTGATACAAAGGACTTAAAAGCAGTGTACCAGGAACTTAGGCCCAGGGTTGGACCAGCCAGTTCTTCCACAGCCTCCTCCCTTTGTAGAGAGACACCCCTCCCCCAACCCAGGCCTGAGCCTTGGATGAGAAAGAGATTCCTCTGTTCCAAGGATAAATCCCTGAACGCAGAGCTCCCAGTAAGCCAGTCTGGTTACTCAGTGTCTGTCCTCCATCCCTTTCCCTTCAGGAAGAAAGGAAAGGTCTGCAACCAAATGCCAGCAAGGATGTCACCGGCATACCCAGGCTCCAGCTAACCTCACAGGAAAATCCAGAGTTACACTTCACTACATAGGGATCACCTGCCCCCACTGCGCCCTCAGTGCCAGGCCCAGGCAGTGTGCAGAGGGTCCAACTGTCCCATGCTGACTCAGAGTGCACTTTTTCACTTGCAGGGGCAGTCAAAATGTCCCCCATAGACTCAAGCATTTGAACGCTTGTTCCCCAGTTGGTGGCACTGGTTATGAAGTGTGGCCTTGTTGGAGGAAGTGTGTCCCTGGGGGTGTGAGAGTATGAGCCTCACCGGCTCCCAGTTCCCTCTCTGTTTCATGCTTGGGTCCAAAGGTGTGAGCGTTCAGCTTCCTGCAGATATCGCCGTGCCTGCCACTTGCTGTCGTGCCTGGGCACCACCATGACTAACTCCCTAGAACCATAAGCTAAAATCAGCTGCTCAGGATGCTTTATCACAGTCGTAGGGAGCCCACAGAAGGGCCCAGAAAGCACAATCTGGTGGTATTGCTGGAGCAGGTCCACATGACACTCAGCTGTCCCTTGCAGCCCACAGATCTATTGATAGCTTCCCTGAAAAGAAGACACCTGAGCTACTGGGCAGTCTCCAAATGACAATCTGAGAAGGATCCCATGTCCAAGAAGACAGCAGACTATTTTTTCCAGATGGATCATTCATTCATTCAACACACAGGAAGTACACCACTTGAGGCACAACTGAATCCTCCTGAGGTTGTTGTGGAGCCACATGTCCTCGGTTTCCATCATGGGTTCCAAGAACTGAACTCAGGTCATCAGGCTTGGGAGGCAGGGGCTTTGAGCTGCCACGCCATCTCTCCAGCCCTCTGATATTCTGAAGAGACACTTAGTGTTGCTCACTTGGCTTATCAGACCATTGAAACAATGAAGCCTAAGGAATTGGAATTTCCCCAGGAATAATCATGCTTGGAGAAAGAAATGGCTAGGGGCCCCGGAAGAGATTTCACGCAACTCTGACAACTTCTCTGACCACCTTGCAGAGTCTGCAACCTAGACAGTAATGATGGGCAGGACCACACCGTGGCCAGGACTGCTTAGCTATGGATACCTCTTGCTCTCTATTTAAACCTAAACTTTATGTTATAAAGAGGGACTTGGGGAGGGGGGTGGGGACCT